GGGATCCACGGCGAGGATTCTGCTTGTTGGTTTGTTGCGTCGTCCCCCCTGCGACCCGCCCACGACCCACCCGCGACCCACCCCGCGACCCACCCGCGACCCGACTGCGACCCACCCTCGACCCAGCCCGCGACCCACCCGCGACCCACCCACGATCCACCCCGTGACCCGCCCGCGACCCACCCGCGACCCACATGCGACCCACCCGCGACCCACCCGCGAACTGGCCCGCGACCCACCCGCCACCCACCCCGCGATCCACCCACATTGCTTTGACGAAAAAAATCGGCGCTTGCGGCGAGCTCACTGCATAATTTGTGAAAGTTTGGCCCCTGCGGCGGGCTTCTTCAGAGCCTCGCAGACTGACGACGTCCTCACTGCCCCCTCACTCTTATCCACAACTACGGGGTGCTATATTTTTTCTGCACCTATGCCACACGAACGCTGCGAGCAGCATGCTTAGAGTCTGGCCAACGCAAAAATAAAGATGAAGAGGAGGAAGAGGCAGAGGAGGAGGAGGAGGGGGATGAGGACAAGCTAGGTGCGCCGGCGTCACATCTGGCGTCCTACCCCTCCCTCCCATCCCTTACCACGGCGTAGACATCTTATGGATTGCGAAGGCCTTACGGCCAGTGCCGCGCACCATGAAGACGACGAAGATGAAAACGAGCGGGGGAGGTAGGAGGCGGAGGATGAGGAGGAGGAGGAGGAGGAGGAGGAGGAGGAGGAGGAGGAGCGGGGGGGAAGAGGAAAGGTGGATGAGGCGGATGAGGGAGGAGGAGGGGGGGAAGGATAAGGAGGAGGAGTAGGAGGAGGAGGAGGAGGAGGCAGAGGAGGAGCAGGAGGAGGGGGAGAAAAGGGGAGGAGGAGGAGGAGGAGGAATAGGAATAGGAATAGGAGGCATTGTGGTATTCTGGGGTTTTTTGGAAACAGCTTTTCATGGTTTCGGGGGCGCTCGAGGGGGAAACGTATCTGGGCGGCGTCCTTTGGCCATCTGGGGGCCCCCTTTGGCCGTCATTAGGCGTTCTTGGGCTGTCTTGTGGGGATTGGGCCGTCTAGGGGCGCCCCTCCGCCAGCGCATCTACAGAGGGCCCCTTCTGTGAAAGTTGCAAAGGGGGGATGAGAATCTGACCCCCCCCCGCTGGGGAAGGGACAAAGGGAAGGGGCTCCCCTTTGACGTGACTACGACGCGGATCGATTTCCCTCAATCCCCGGACTCCTCCCGGCGAAGACGGGAGAGTGCTTTCTCACCCCCGACGGGGAAGGATAAACAGAAAAGACATCCCGTCGACGGTACTAGACAGACACCCCACACACGCCGACAGGGCCGGCGGATTCGCACAGTCGGATGCCGAGCAGGGCAAAGATCCCAAGAGGGTACGCGATGGATGGAAAAGCATGGCGTAGAAGAGCACGGCAGATCATAGCATATCATAGTATGGCGTGGCATTGCGTAGTAAAGTTGTGCATCACAAAGCATAGCAACGCAAAGCATGGCATATCGCACAGCGGTGCACAACACAGCATCGCATTGCATGCCGTGACATGGCACCGGATGATTTGGAGGGTAAGTGGCCCGTCTGCGAGAGGACAGGGCCTGTCCGGAATGCCGGCCCCATGTCCTCAGCAATTGTGTTTACCCGATGTGGGCACTTTCGAATGCCAAGTGCCGTCCGGTAGGGTCACTGTAATTCGTGAACCCCCCCCCTCCTTTGGACACGCTGCCTCGCGTTCCCTGGAACCCCTTCCAAGTCTCCCTGGGCTCCCCGGAGCACCGGGAGCCCAAGGAGGCCAGCGGGAACAAGGCAGCACAATTCAATGGCAGAAGCGTGGAATTGAGGGTGGCGCTGCAGCGGGAGCACCGTTTTGGAAGAGCCAGAAACGACTGGTTGCAAAAGAACACGTGGGACAAACCAAATAATGAAATCTTGTGTGTGAAAACACTACGCGGAGAGGAAGGGACACTCTCCGGACAGAGTCAGAGGAGAGAGGAGACTAGTATTCAGATTGTGTCATTGTGGAGGAGGAGGAGGAGGAGGAGGACGACGACGACGACGACGACGACGACGCAGGCAGGCAGGCATGGAGGGAGGCAGGAGGAGGAGGAGGAGGACCAGGCATGCAGGCACGCAGCCACGCAGCCACGCAGGCACGCAGGCATGAGGAGGTGGTGGAGGAGGAGGAGAAGGAGGAGGAGCAGGAGGCACGAGGAGGAGGAGGAGGAGGACGCAGGCAGGCAGGCAGGCAGGCAGGCAGGCAGGCAGGCAGGCAGGGAGGGAGGGAGGGAGGGAGGGAGGGGAGGGGAGGGCGCGGGCCTCTCGCTTGCCAGCAGCTCCCGAGCCACGTCACCGAGTATTCGGGGCACTGCCCCGCGCCTCTCGTCCTCCTGCCCGTCCTCCTTCCCTCCACCATCCGTTACCCTCATCATCATCATCATCATCATCATCATCATCATCATCATCATCATCATCATCATCATCATCATCATCATCATCATCATCATCATCATCAGCATCAGCATCAGCATCAGCATCAGCATCAGCATCAGCATCAGCAGCATCAGCATCAGCATCATCATTATCATCATCAGCATCATCGTCATCATCACCATCATCATCATCATCATCATCATCATCATCATCATCATCATCATCATCTGCCCTCCTTCCCACCCCTCTCCCGATTCACACTCGCCCTCCGCCTCCTTCTTCTCGCCCGCTCCCCCCCCCCGCCCATGCCCTGGCCCTCCCTCCCCCCCCCCTTCTCCTCTCCCTCCTCCTCTCCCTCTTCCCTGCCCTCCTCGCCCCCCCCCCTCCATAGCCATTTTGGCTCAAGCAAAAGCGGCGCGGGACCGGGCGACCCCCCCTTGTGGCTCCAACCGGTCATGCAGCCACTCTCGGCGTCTCATCGCGGCGTGCTTGTGGCAACCTGAAGATCCTGCAACATTCACTGGCATGGGTCTTGCTGTTCTCGATGGGTTGGCTAAGACCCACTTCAGCAGCTTCCTCATCAGTCAGTGCTGACCACGTGCGACGTTGTGTTTTACTTCGTCCACGTCGCTTTCGTGCTGACAGGGTGCAGACTGGGTCCTTTTGTTTCTGAGTTTTCCAGCTTTCCTGTGCATCGATTTCGTGGCCCGTCCCAAGCTGCAGGGTCGATGGGGGGAGCCGCTGGCATTTACCCACCCGCCTGCGGTCTGGGCGTATTTCAGGCGAGCGGGTGTTGCTGTCGCGACCGTCGTGGAGAACATCCGCCCCAGGTGCAGGGTCGACGGGGGGAGCCGTTGGCATTTACCCACCCGCCTGCGGTCTGGGCGTATTTCATGCGAGCGGGCGTTGTTGTCACGATCGTCGTGGGGGGCATCTGCCCCAGGTGCAGGGCCAACGGGGGGAGCCGCTGGCATTGACCCACCCGCCTGCTATCTGGGCGTATCTCAAGCGTGGTGCTGGAGTGGTGGCTCGCGGTACGTATTGGGAGTTTATGGGACCTTCTCCCCATCCCGCCGTGTCCACTGTCGCTCTCTCTGGCCTTGTACGTGCATGATATATGCGGTTGTTTGCACGGTGGCTTGGAAGAGGTCAAGAGGTCAATTCGTTTTCGCATGCGGGTACGATTTTGGATTTGGTTTTGTGGGGCTGTCTGTGGAGGAGGCGATCTCCTTTGGGGGGTTGCCCGATGACCAGTGATGTGTTGTTACATCATTGGATAAAGGCCGCATCGAGCCGACTTGACCTCAGCTGAACGCTGTCAACTTCTATGGTTTTTGCCGCGCACGTCTCCTACGATTCCCTCATTTACTTGGAGATGGTCAGTGGGTGGCTTTTATGTTGTGGTGGATTGATAGACTCAGTCATATGGTCATTATCATGCCCTCCTCGCCGCCCCCCCTCCTCCCCCTCGCCCTCTTGTCCGCCCCCGCCCCTCCCCCTCCGCCCCCTTCCTGCTTCCCCCCGCGCCCCACCACCGCCTGGCACGCCGAGGTGGCGACTTCGGCAAGCTGCGGAGCGCGTACGTGGCGGCCGGGGTCCACCACGCCCTGAGGCGGCGCTCGCGCCTGCCCCCTCCCGGAGGCCTCGGGGGGCACGTGTCCGGCACGCCCCGGCCACCCTTGGTTCGCTTGTTGTCAGAAGCGTCCTTGGCCCACGGTGCCCCCAGAATTTCCTCCAAGGAGGCCCCAGCGGCCTCTGGAGCACCCCCATCACGAGGCCCAGGGGGCACCCGGAAGGTCCAAAATAGGGCTGCAAGTAGGGGGCACCTTGGGCCAGAGATACATGTAGCAACCCCCGACCAATGGTAGGCTTTGGGCTGCGCGCAGGCAGCCGCCCCAGCTATCCTGGGCTGCGGCCCGATCGGTCTCAACAACTCGGCGACCCCTCAGGCGGCGCCCCTGGCCTGGAGCACTCCGCGTCCAAAGGGTGGGGCGTCGAGAAAGCCGAAGACTAGTCGTGGGGCCCGTCGGGTCCAGCCGCGACTACTTGGGACTACCTGGGAGGGGTGATCTGTTCTGGGGAGCATCCATGGAGGGGGTGGGGGTTAGGGGGTAATCATGGCAAGGGTCGTGATATCTTCATGGTTCCGCGTTTGTCTTCGTATTAATAATGTCAGTATTAGTATCAGTCTGCTGTTTATTAATTGATGTTCTAACAGTGCATGTGGTTTAAATGTTAGTACTAGTCAGATTGGCATTATTGGTGTTACTCCGATTGGTATGCTTATTAAGTGTAGTAGAAGTTGTTGTATTCCTCTTCTCAGTTGTAGTATTGGCAATATGATGTTATTTCTTCGTGTCATCACACATTGTGTTAGTATGTGTCTTCTTGCTTGTCTTATCAGTATTAAGACGCTTTTCCTGCTTCAAAGAGTTATTGCTACGATTTTTAAAATTATTAGTAGTCGCATTCTTTTTATTACTAGCAGTAGCGGTCTTATCATACGTCTCCTGGTCCCCACGCGTCCGCGCACATGCCTCGGGTCATGATGTGCGACCCCCCCCTGGGACGCACCCGATAACTTGGAGGGCTGTCTGCGCGCAACCCCGAAGCCTTGCCACCCACCCGCAGATCTGGGCGCTTTGACAAAAATGCCGACGACAACGAAGAAGGAGAGAGGCTCGAGGAGCGACCCTGACGTGCTGGCGTTGCAATTTTTCCGCAACGGACGTCTTCGCCCCGTTTCGGGCCCCGGGACCTTCACAGATCGATCCGGCTCGAAACATGACGCAGAAGCATGGGGGTTCTGGTCGTGCATTTGTGCGATGCCGCATGTTGTCCGCAACGTCGGATCTCAGGGGAGGGTTCAGAGCGCTTTGGGGGGGCGTCCCGGGGCGTCCTCTCGTCGCCACGGACGGATTTCTTTCGAAGTCTGGGCCAGGATCGGGTCGGACATGTCCTCCTACAGGCGGATTTTGGACCGAAAATGAAAATGGCAGAGAAATCGTCCCCAGACCATTTTTGTTACTGTTTTTGAATACGCCTCCTGTGGAGGAACCTGCCCGACTCAAGGCCAGGACTCACCCCTGGACAGGTTCGGGAGTCGAGCATCGACCCCCAGGATGGGAGCCGCGCAGAGCTGGGCGTCGCGCCCAGTACACCGACGCCGGGCAGCTCGCCGCTTGGCCCGCCAGCACAAGCGGCGAGCACGGGTCGGGCGCAAGCGGCCCCGCAGAGAGTTCCAGGTCCACCCATCTGAGGCCCCGTCGGTCTGCTCGTCGTCGGCTTCGATGTCGTCGTGGTCATCGACGTTGAAGGCCTCCCCCCCTCCGTGCCTCTGTCCTGCCCGGCCCTGCCCTGCTCCCCCTGTCCCCCTGAACCCCCGCCAGCCGCCGTTCATTGCTGCGCACTCGGCCGCTGGGAATAGAACGGCGCGCCATAGGTTGCGCGTCGGGACGCCGAGAACAGAATGGCCTCCCATTTTCTGCGCCACAGGTTGCACGCTGGGCCGCCAAAAATAGACGGCCTGCTCTTGGTTGCGCCACGGATGGCGCGCCACGGGCTGAAAATAGAACGGCCGCCTGGGGGAATCTGGGGGGTGCGGTCCCCCAGGACGCGGCCCCGGCCACGGGCGGAAGACGGCCGCTGTCGGCCCCATTTCGGCAGACGCGTTTCTGGGCGGTCCAGACGGCCCCAAGATGGTCCGCAAGATGGTCCAAGAGGTCCACGAGTCGCCGAAAGATTGGTCCAAGACGCCCAAGATGGCTTCAGGATGTTCCAAGAAGCCTCCTGGAGGGCCTCCAAGAGGGCCCCGAGAGGCAAAATTCATCCATGTCCTGAGATGTGTTCGATGTTTTTTGCGTTTCCGCTTTCCTAGTTTCCCGAAGCTCCCAGACGGCCCCAAGAGGCCCCAAAGGTCGCCTGAAGACGGCCGAAGAGCTCCGAAGAGGGCGCCCTCACAGCCCAAGAGGCCGCCCAGACGGCCGAGGAGGCCTCCAAGACGGCCCAAGAAGGCTCCAGCATCGCCCCAAGAGGGGCCCCAGAGGGGACCAACATTCCCAGCTGTTCGCCCAAATAGACCTCCTGGAAGCCCCACAAGGCCGGCTCCAAGTTGCGTCCGAGAGGCCCCAAGGAAGCCCCCAGAGGCCCATAGGAGGGCCCCAAGAATGCCAAAGAGGACCCCAGAAGACCCCAGGAGGAACCAACACGGCCAGACACGTCCGCAGCACAGCTCTCGCACGGTCCGCATACGGCACCCGAACGTCGCAAGTTGCCTAACCTTGTCACCATGCGGCCGGAGACGTCCCCGACCCGAGCACCGACGATACTTGAGGGCACCCAGGAGCCTGAAGAGCTCCCACACTCCACTCTCTCGCCTCCTGGGAGGCCTAGCGGAGGTACGTCCCACGCGGACCACCTCGGGACCTCGCCGGTCCCTGGGGGGCTTGCGATCTGCGCAACTGTCGCCACTTTCGTGGGCTCCTGGGAGGCCTAGCGGAGGTGGGTCCCACGCGGACCAACTCGGGACCTCGCCGCCCCCTGGGGGGCTTGCGATCTGCGCAATTGTTGCCACTTTCGTGTGGGCTCCTGGGAGGCCCAGCGGAGGTGGGTCCCACGCGGACCAACTCGGGACCTCGCCGCCCCCTGGGGGGCTTGCGATCTGCGCAATTGTCGCCACTTTCGTGGGCTCCTGGGAGGCCCAGCGGAGGTGGGCCCCACGCGGACCACCTCGGGACCTCGCCGCCTCCTGGGGGGCTTGCGATCTGCGCAACTGTCGCCACTTTCGTGGGCTCCTGGGAGGCCCAGCGGAGGTAACTCCCACGCGGTGACTGGGTGTTCCTGCTTATCCTCGAGGCCGCGATCTTTTGCTTCCACTTTTGACTTCTTTTCTTTGGGTTCGCTGCCGCGCCCTTTTGTCTCCACTTTTGGGTGAGTCTCCGCCCCCGTTATGCACCTCATGCATTTGCCTCTTTCAGCGCAGCGCGTTGCTGAGTTTAACCGATGCTCTGGTTTAGCCCTCGCCGCCCCCCGCTTTTGTGCTTCTTTCAACGCCCTTGTGCTTCCATTTTGTATGTCTGCTGTTCCTCTTCTTGATGCTCTCGTCTGATTTCACTCCTGAGTGCTCTTCTCGCGCACTGCGGGTCCTTCAGAGTGCCAGTCAGCACTGAGTGGTCCGGAATATCAACGCCACGTGTACAAAAAAGGGTTGGGTACGTCGCAGGGTACTCCAGATTTCGTAATAAAAGGGAGGGGGTCTGGACCCTCAAGACAAGCCATTTCAGACCTCCCCCGTGGGAGAACCCTCCAAAACATCGTCCCCAGACCCCTCCAGGCCCTCCAAGATAGCCTGGAAGAGACGCCCCCCGAAATGAGACCCCCCTCCCTTTATTACGAAATCTGGAGTAATTGATTGTTCGTCCAAAATCCCCAGCTTCGCTCTCTCCCCCTCTCTCTTGGGAGAAGTGGCCTCGCGCGCAGCACCGGCAGCCGAGACGGGGCTCCCCGAGAAAGGGCAGGGCCGATCTCCCTCGCGGGCGGCCGAAGGCCCGCGGGAGCGGGACGAGGGCCGCCTCGAGGTTGGCCCCATGCCTCCCAAGCTCCCGCCGTTTCCAAGGAGGCGCTTCCGAAAGGGCTCGCTTCTGCGCGCGGGCCCCGGCTGCGGGCGGGTGAGGCTCTGGAGAGACGCTGGAAGCGATGAAGAAAAACAGCATCAACGCAAACTTGTGGCGCTCCGCGCGGATTTCTTGCATCCGCGCTGGGCCCCCCAGGCGGCGCCTCCGGCGCCGCCCCTGGCGCGCTCTGCGCGCCAGGGAAGGGTGTCCAGCGCAGATCCGAGAAATCCGCGCGGAGCGCCAAAAAGTTTATGTCTATCCGATCCCTATCCCCATCCTCATCCCCTTCGAGACCCCCACCAAATTATCACCCCAGTTGGGGATACACCCCTCGAAACCCGAAGGGAACGGCCTATATCCCCATCTAGGGAGGTGAATCGGCCAGTGGGGCCCAGGCTACGCCGCTGGGGATGGGGGTCGGATAAACGATTCTCGGCTTATGGCGTTTTTTCTTCTTCTGTGGCAGGAGCAGGCCAGCGGAAACCCGGCGGAGCGGAGCCTGGCGGGGTGCGGCGGCAGCCGGCGCCGGTGCACTCGGGGCTTCCAGCGCGGGCCAGCTCGGGCCCAGCCAGAGCGGTGCGCTCGGGGGGCGGGCCCTCGGCGGCAGAGCGGGAGGCCGAGAACTTGACGCAGCTGGCGTTAAGTCGGGCTGTCCCTCTAGAGGAGGAAAATTCAAGTATAGTCCGAAAATGGTCTGGGAACGATGTTTCGACTATTCTTATGTATTTTTGATGTTTTTTTTTGTATTTGCTATTTTTCCCTGGAAAATCCGCCTGTAGGAGGACATGCCCGACCCAAGGCTGGCGGTCGCCGAACGAAAACGGAGCGCGCCCCCGCCCACAGGGAAGTTGGCTTCGGTGCCGGTGCCGATCCGATCCGTTCACGAGCGGCGACCACACCCATGTCCACGCCCTCGCGGCCTGGATTCCGGGGCGCGATCCCGCAGGTGGGCGGTCGCACAGGTGCGTGGCGCGCGGGGCATCCGTGAGAACAGACGCCC